GCTTTCACTCTCATTCTACACAAGGAGGATGACGTGCAGAGTGTAGGCAGTGTGTCCAGTGTTACACAGTTAGGGAAGATTCTGCTAACCTGGGACACTAGGATTTTGAGTCCAAAGCCTTTTGTACCTGACTACAGGTGCGTGCCCATTGCTTCCTGTTCCGTCCTGATTCAAAGCTGTTTGTGGAGAATCTCAGGCATATAGAACAGACTTAGAAAACCCTAAGAAAGAAAATTACAAAATATAAAAACTACAGTGGTGTTACTGAGAAATTTTGTAGTTAAAAACACCCACATTAAAAGAGAAAGATCTCAAATTGACAACCTAAACTTCCACCTTAAGAAACCAGATGAAGGACAAACTATACCCAACAAAGGGCAGAAAAAGGAAATAACCAAGATTAGAGCAGAGATCATGAAATAGAGTATAGAAAAACAAGAGAGAAAAATCAACAAAACCAAAAATGGGGTCTTTGAAAAGATCAACAAACTTGAGAAATCTTTAGCTAGATTGACCAAGAAAAAGAGGAGACTCAAAAATCAGTAATAAAAGAGGGGACATTACTGATGACCTTACAAAAACAAAAGTTTTAAAGAAATTACAGAAAACCTAACTAAATGGAAAGAAATTATGTTCAGAGGTTGGACAATTCAATGCAATCCCTATCAAATGCCAGCTGCTATTTTTGCAGAAATTAAAATGCTGATCCTAAAGTTCACGTGGAAATAAAAGAAACCCAGAATAGCCAAAGAATCAGGAAAAGAAGGACCAAGTTGGAAGACTCACTGTATGGTGCTAGCACAGGGATATAGGTCAATGAAATAGGACAGATTCCACACATAAGCTCACACATTTATAGCCAGTGATTTTCAACAAAATGCCAAGATAATTTGATGGGACAGAATGGTCTTTTCAACTAATGATGCTGGGACAACTGGATATTCAAATGCAAAATAATAACAACAATAATAATGCTAACCCCTACCTCACACCATATATAAAAAATTAACTCCAAATGTATCGAAGACCCAAAAATATAAAAATCTTAGAAGGAAAACATAAGTGTAAATTTCTATGATCTTGGGTTAGGAAATGATATCTTAAATAGGTACCAAAACCACAGGCAACCAAAGAAAAAGTAAATAAATTGGATTTCATCAAAATTTAAAACTTTTGTATTACAAAGAATACTATCAAGAAAGTGAAGACAACCAACAGAATAACTGAATATATTTGCAAATTATATATTTGACAAAAGTCTGGTATCTAGAATATATGAAAAACTCTTACAACTTAATAATAAAAATACTAATAACCCAATTAAAAAATAAGTAAAGGACTTGCGTAGACATTTCTTCAGAGAAAATACATAAATGGCCAACAAAGACAAGAAAGTCAATATCACCAGTCATTACATTTGAGAAAATGTAAATCAAAACTACTTTACACCCACTAGGCTGGCTGCAATAAAAATGTCAGCCAATAATAACAGTGTTAGCAAGGAAGTGGAGAAATGAGAGCCCTCACATTCAGCTGGTGGGTGTAAAATAAGGCAGCCACTATGACAAACAGTCTGGCAGTTTCTCAAAAAGTTAAACATAGAGTTACAATATGACCTAGAAATTCTACTCTTAGGTATACACCCAGGAGAAATAAAAACATAAATTTGTACAACAACTCATACAAGAATGTTCTTAGCAGCATTATTCACAATAGCCAAATGTCCACCAATGGGTGATAAAGAAAATGTGGTATATCCATAGTGGAATATTATTCATCCTTTAAAGGAATGAGGTACTGACGCACGCTACAACCTGGATAAACCTTGAAAACATTATGCTAAGTGGAAGAAGCCATCACAAAGGACCACATGTTGTATGGTTCCATTTAAACTAACCGTCCTGAATAGGCAAGCCCACGGGCAGGAAGTCGGTTAAGTGGTGCAGGGACTGGCGGAGGGGCTGGGTATGACCGCTCACAGAGATGAGGTTAGTGAGTGGTGATGGGTTTATCACCTTGGGAATGTACTATACTTATGCACTTTAAAATACTGAATTTCATAGTATGTATATTTTTTTAGTTTAAAAAAAAGCTACCGGAGGAGGTGAGGTGAGGAAAGAAAAGCCACTGGTCCCTCACAAACATCTAGTTTCCTTGATTAGAGAACATGAGCCCCTGTGGGACTCCCCAGTCTTTCCCCCTCGTTACACCCCTTTGGTGGACCCTCTGCCCCAGGATTCTGAACAAAGTGTACTAGTGTGAGTACACAAGTATACTACTGTGTACTAGCATGTGTACTAGCATGTGTGTGAGTGTGAATATACTTGTGTGTGATAGTGTGTACTAGTATGAGTACATACTAGTAGATATGCCAGTATATTGGCACATGCACTCGCATTGTGTACTAGCATGTGTGTGAATGTGAATATGTGTATATGTGTGCTAGTGTGTACTAGCATGTATACATATGCATACCACTATACACATGCTGGCATGTGCACTTGCAAGTGTGCTAGTGTGTACCAGCATGTGTGCTAGTGTGTACCAGCATGTGTACTACTGTTTGCTAGCGTGTATAGTAAGCATACTAGTTGTGGATATTAGTGTGTGCTAGTGCATGTGCTAATGGGTGTGACAGGCCCAATTCCCACATGGGAAAGAGGCCCAAGTGCTGCTCAGCATTCCCAGGAAAGTCAGCAAGGAGAGGAAGCCTCATCTTGTTTCCTCTCTGGGGCTCCTTCCTGCTCTGCTAGACAGGATGGGCCTATAAAATGGCCCAGGGGTTTGCTGAGCACCTACAATGTGCCAGGCCCTGCCCCAAGTGTCGGGGATACGGCAATGAACAAGGAAATTCACATTCTAAGGGAAGTGCACAAAATACAGCCGTCATCAGCCACACGCACGCTGTAGTGCTGAGGGTCATGGGGCGGGACACAGAGGCCTGACTGTGCTCTCTCCAGAAGGGGGTGACTCCTTGGAGACATCTGAGTAGAGACCTGAATTAAGGGGGATTTGGGGGAGGGGTGCTCCAAGCAGAGGGTCACAGAAGCAAAGGCCGAGGCAGGGTGGTTGAGTGTCTGAGAACCTACAGGAGGCCGTGGCTGGGGCAGCGTGGGCAGAGAGGCCATGACCCACTGACGTTAGTTCCTGTCCCTCCTGTGCACACGGGAAGGGAATCAAACGCTGACCTCAGCGCTAACAAAAACAGGTACAGTTGATCACTGGCAGACAGAACCCAGAACTTGGTGAGGCAGGTGGTGAGCACCCTCTTGACATTCAAACAGACATTTGAGCAGGAAAACTGTCAACAGAGCCACATTGATACACAGATTTAAGAAAGCACTTTCAGAGCAAACGCAGTTCATTTCTTTGCATGAATTGGAACCCAGTTAGAAAACGTGTTGGCTGGGCTCCAGTCCTAACAAGGCCCGCTCCAGTTAGCCGTGTCTGCAAGGACCCAAGACAGCCCGTGCGGCCTGAGGCCCACGGTTCCAGATCTGTCTGAGTGGCTGGAGGCCTTTCCTCCCAGAAACACCAGTGTGCACAGAACCTTCCCGAATCCCACCCTTGCATCTTCTCTAGACCAAAGCTCCTTAAAAAAAGCAAAACCAAAAACAGGGGCCATGTGCACAGCACGCTCCTGTGTTTCAAAACAACTCCAAGCCCTCAGCTCTGGGGTTTCCTGTGCCAGCAGTGGGCGTCTGGAAGTAGCTGCACACCCACGCGCGGGCGGCTGCTGCTGCTGACAGACCGTCCTGACTTTAGACACTTGTGTTCCTGGAAACCGCAGCCTGACGTGCACCCTGATAAGACGCAGAGACGGATGGTGCGTCACCCGTGGACTCCTCGGGGAGCAGACACTTAAATCCCTGCCTCTCGGAGTCATGGGGCCCAGGTGGGGCCGCTCTCAGGACAGGGCTCCAGGCCCACATCTGCCCAGACTGGTCCATTCTGTCTCTCCCCCCTCCCCCGGTTCCATGTGAGGCTTGTGGTGAGCAGCCTTGAACAAGGAATAAACCGATACATAAATAAGAAAATAGGCAACTCTGTCTTCACGGCTACAAATTCTGAGAGCACAGCAACTATTCTTTAAGAATGGAAATAATGAGAGCGTTAAGGATAAAACTCGCCGAACTCATCTCCCACGTATAGGATGGGCCTATAAAATGAGCTGGAACACGCCCAGGGCCCAGGTGTTTGCTGAGCACCTACAATGTGCCAGGCCCAAGTTTCAGATAACAGGGAGTTCTCGCCTTCTACCCGTCCTATACATGTCTTATACCCTGTCCTCTGCCGTGTCCTATATGTGTTCCTACACCACGTGCTACACTGTGTCCCTACATCATGTCCTTCACCATGTCCTACACTGTGTCTGAACACCGGATGAGTGTGGGTTGGGCAGCCAGAACAGGGCCCTCTTGGACAGTCAGCAATGGGGGACACTCCTCACCACCTTCCTCTAGACCAGTGATGGCAAACCTATGACACGCGTGTCAGAGGTGACACGCGAACTCATTTTTTTTGGTTGATTTTTCTTTGTTAAATGGCATTTAAATATATAAAATAAATATCAAAAATATAAATCTTTGTTTTACTATGGTTACAAATATCAAAAAATTTCTATATGTGACATGCACCAGAGTTAAGTTAGGGTTTTTCAAAATGCTGACACGCCGAGCTCAAAGGGTTCGCCATCACTGCTCTAGACCCTGCTGGTGGGCCAGAGAGTGGAATCCGCTCCCTCGTGTGTAACGCCATATGCGACACCAACCTCTTTGCCTAAACGTCGCACACAATAAGAGATAGGTACCTCTAGGATGAGCATTTGCTTTATTGGGTACATTGAAGTAAATACTCTCTAGTGCATTGGAACCTCTACAAATGACGTCACCTTGGGGACTCACCAAGTCGGGGAATTCTGATTCATTTGTTTGAAGAACAACACTCGCCCCACTGCCGGGGGGTCAGAGTTAGTATTCCTGGGCGGACCCGTGCCTTACCGCGTGGCCAACTTGTGGCAGACGACGCCTGTGTCGGTGATGACTTCACTCAGCCTCAGCTCCAGGTGGACCTTGCCCTGAAAGGCACAAGGATAGAGGGTCATGGGGAGCAGCCTCGCAAAGTGGAGAGGTGCAGAGTGTCTGTTCACAAATGGTGGTGAGGTCTGACCCATGTGGCGTCCACCATACTCCCACCAGCCTCACTCAGATCTCAGGGACCAGGTGGGTGTGACTCCCCCAGAGGGTTAAGGTTCCAACCCATCAGGCACACTGGGCTCCCAGCTCTGCTGACCGCGAGGGAGACAGGCACCGAGAAGCCCAGACCTCGGCCTGGACACACATGGCAGCAAACACGCCCACGCCACTGCCCAGCTGTGGGCAGGGCCTGGTACTGTCCTTTCGAGCCTTTTTCTCACCTGCAGGACAGAATGGCCACAGGGAGGGCAGGAGTGATGGTCAGCCAGGATGCCCAGCCATAAGTCCTGGACACAGGACCAGACCATTAGCATCCCATCCATGTGAGCACAGGTCTGGGCCCAGCTCTCCTGGCTGACCTCCTTAGACATGCAAACGTCCTCATGGCCAGTGACTGAGGAGGGGGCCTCAGCACCACGCCAGCTCTGCCGGGGCTGGACAAAGGCCGAGAGTGACAGCAGTGGTGCTGACAAAGCTGATCTTCTGTGGCTCCCTTTCACTCTGCACCGCCAGGGTTTAGAGCTTTCAAATCATCCCGTAATCCTCAGCACAGCCCATCAAGCGGGCACTGAGAACACTGAGGCTTACAGCAACCGCCAGCCTGCCCTCTAAACCAAACCCAGGACAAGAGCGTGTGATACAGCGGAGTGAGAACATGTCCACAGCGGCCACCTGTGACGTCTGGTTCCTCAGCGCCTTCCCAAATGCACTGGGCGCCAACTCTGTCATGGGCCATGGCCATTCAGACCGACATTTCCCTAATTCATTCTCAATGGGCTTCTAAGAAGTGAGAGACGGTGTCTGGGGTGAGAAGGAGCCCCGCTGCTGACGCCCGGGCTCACCGTCCTGTTTCCTGTTTTTCCCAGAAGAGGCCGGCAAGTCCACACCAGCAGACCCCGTGGCTGCGCACGTTTCCTCTCGGGGGCACACACTTCCTTACCAAGGTGGCAGACACCGTCAGCTAATCCGTGTTGTCACCTCTTTGTGGGGCTTTGGGAGAGGGTGGTAGGAGGTAAAACAAAACAACACGAGCACTGTCCACGACTGAAAGGACTTTCCCCCCAGAAGGTAACTCGTAGAGCTGCAGTTCAGAAGTTCACATCTGTTGTTACCCAGGGTCACTGACGGTTCAGCCACACCTCACGCGGTGTGGGCATCACACCACCTCCAGCACAAACAACCCAGCCACAGCTGCCGACGCCCAGAGGGGCTGAGGGCCACGCCTCACACCTCAGCGCAGGGAGGAAGTGCGGGTGTTCGGGGCGCAGCCTCTGCACAGCTGGTGTCTGGGCTCACAGAGCCCTGGGCGCAGATGCCAGTCTGAGCGTTAACCTGCTCGGCTACACACGTCAAGGTGAGGGGGGGAGGAAGGAGCCTGGCCTTGCCCTTTCCTTCCTGCAGTTCCGTAAAACCCTTAGAAAGATCTGAGCTGGGTCCTGGTGTGTGGACAGCTGCGGACGCCGATTGTTTGGGAAATCCTTCAAGTAGGATTGTCTGAGTCAAATTCTCAGAGACGATCTGGATGTGGCTGCTGGGGTTTGCTGGGATGGCTCAGCTGAGCTCTTTTCTGCATATCTACTTTCATAACAGTGCACTAAAATAAACAGCACAAAGCAGAGCTCAGTGGCTGCTGGGCGTCCCTGGAAGAGCCCGGGGAGGACTCACTTGCAGCTCCGCGGGGGGCCGGCTCAGATGGATGCGTGGGGGACGACCGCCCTCCGAGTAGAAGAACGCGAAGCATGGGGAAAAGGGAGCCTTCCAGGTTCAAGCAGACGTTTTGGCAGCTGTGACGGGCTGTGCAGCACAGACCACAGACAAGGCCATTCCTGCCAGTCGCCTCGTTCTGTTATCCACAAAGGGTCAGGGAAGGAACAGAAGTGACTAATTCTTTTTAATAAAGTCATCTACCAGAGGCCTTTAAAAACGTCAATTCCAGAGGGAGCAAGACGTTCTTTAAATCGTCCTTTCCCCCCATTCTGCGACTCACTGAGCTCCTGTTGGCCCCAGTTTTGTGATTCTCTCGGACACATGCCTTTTATTTTATTACTAGAGGCCCGGTACACAAAATCTGTGTGTGTGTGTGTGGGGGGGGAGGCAATCCCTCAGCCCAGCCTGCACCCCCTCCAATCCAGGACCCCTTGGGGGATGTCTGACTGCCTCTCTCAATCTGGGACCGCTGGTTCCTAACCACTTGCCTGCCTGCCTGCCTGATCACCCCTAACCCCTCTGTCTGCCTGCCTGATCGCCCCTAACTGCTCCCCTGCTGGCCTGAGAGCCCCTAACCACCTCTGCCTCACCTGCACCAGGACTCAGGTTTCCCTCCTCTGGCTGGTCGCAGGCACCTGGGACCCGGGCTTTCCTCCCTCTGGCCGGTCGCAGGCACCCAGGACCCGGGCTGGCTTCGCCCAGGCCAGCCGCAGCTGCAGGGGACCGTGGGTGGGCAGCTTCGCCCAGGCCGCAGCTGCAGGCGCCTGGGACCACGGGGCAGGCGATTTGTCCCTCTCCCAAGCTGCAGCCCCAGCAGCTGGCATCTGGGACCCCGAGGCGGGTGACTTGTCCCTCTCCTGGGCCGCAGCCCCAGCCACTGGCGCCCGGGACCACAGGGTGGGCGGCTTATCCCAATCTGTGCCTGGCTGGTCCCCATTCCTCTCTCCCCAGTGTTGAGTGTCTGAGCCATTACGGCTGATGGCGTGATGGCATGATGGCATTATGGTGTGAGGGCGTGATGACCATTTGCATATTTGCTCTTTATTATATAGGACTAGAGGCCCAAATTCATGCAAGAGTAGGCCTTCACAGCCCCAGCTGCCTCAGCCCTCACAGCCCCGGCTTTGAGGAAGGTTGTCCAGAAGGTCGTCTGGACGGTCATTCTGCTGTTTGGCCATTTGGTCACTTTGCATATTACGCTCTTATTATTATGAATTTTTAAAAATATATTTTTATTGATTTCAGAGAGGAAGGGAGAAGGAGGGAGAGATAGAAACTGGCCACAACCCGGGCATGTGCCCTGATTGGGAATCAAACCGTGTCCTCCTGGTTCATAGGTCGACTCTCAACCCCTGAACCACACCAGCCGGGGTTGGACACATGTATTTTACTATGAATTATACAACAGATGGATTCAAGGAAATATATGCCATCCTCTGCCCCTCTAAAGACCGTACATGTGACATTTCAAAATGAAACTGTGGCTGCAGGGAAAAGGTCGCACTGGCACCTTGCAAGGCCAGTTTGAATCTGGGGAGCGCTGCTTCCGTGGTGGTGCGACCGCTTCATGCGTGGGCACTCTAAGAGCTAACTACCCTAAGCAAAGTGCTCAGCTCCTTGCCTGGACTTAGCGAGCAACCAATAAGCACTGTCCTTCCTCCCTCTCTTCAGAGTTATGACGATAATGCATTTGCCGTTCATAATTCACAAAATCCGAGGAGACTGGCCCAGTGAGGGTCAGTATCCCATCTCATACACGGTAAGGACCAGGCTCAGAAGGACAGGGGACTTGTCCACGGGCATGCAGAGGGCATCAGTTCTGAAACAGTGAAAATATTCCACACATCTGTACAATGAACACACACCCATGTTTGTTTATAAGATTTGTGCTGGCAGAGCAGTTTTGGATATTAATTGTGGTGGTGATTACACAAATTTACACATGTGATAAGCTGCACAGGATACACATGTGCACACACAAACACACACATGTGATAAGCTGCACAGAATATCCACATGCACTTGTGCACACATGCACACGCACACACTGGTACATGTGGAACTGGTGAGATCTTAGTGAGGTCTGCATTGTGGGCATGTCAGTGTCCCGGCTGTGATCTCCCCGAGGTACACAGCATGTACCATGGGGGGATGGGGAAGGAACATGGGCCTCCTCACTACTTTTAGTCTTTAAGTATAAGTAGGAGAGCACACAATTTGCTAATCATTATTCCCTGTGCACTTTTTTGTGACTTCCTGTGAAGCTGTCACCCTTTCAAAATTAAAAGAAAAAGAAAAGGCAAGATAAAAAGAAAAATCACACTTGCCAATAAAATCCAACTTAAATCTGGGTAGCAGCCATTTTGATTATGGCGCCACAGCCTGTGTTATTTCAGAATAAAAGTGCTGGGGTAAACAGTCAAAATAAAAAGCGGGAACGGTTCCATTACAGAGCACCACTGCAGAGCACGTGGCTTCTGGAATTCCTGCCTAAAGACGAGACTGCCAGTCACCTGAGCGGCGCGGTGGGCTGTCAATCCCAGTTGTCATCCATCTTCACTGTTGGAACTCTGCTTCCAACTCCGGGCAGTTCCTAGTTCTGCAGTAATTACAGCGTTTTCTAATTTACTCGGCATGATCGGGCCCCTGGGTCAGAATTAATTAAGCGTGAAGCACCATTACGATGCTTTCCTTTGGCTCAGCTCCTCAGCCTTCCCTCTGGCTGCCTCTTTGTTAAAGTGTGCGGATCCTTCCCAGTGGGCACAAAGCCAGTGCGCCCCACAGCCTCACCAGGCAGCAACCCTGAACCCCCTGCCTTCCCCCTCAGAGTTCAGCTGAGGCCGAGGTTTTAGGAGGAAGCATGAGGACCCGAGGGCCAGCCGGCTCCAGATGCTGGGCGAGGAGCCCAGGAATGCTGCCTGCCAGGCAGGGCCAGGGGAAGGCCTACGGCAACGTGTCAGACACTGTCCAGCTGTTCACAACACCCCGCTTTACAGATGAGGAGACTAAGGCTTGGAGAGGACACTGCTGGCATACCTCACTAGTGGTTGGGGCACGAAGCTCTGAGCCAGGCCTGCCTGTGCCAGAGACCCTGTGCCTGGTCAGGCACCCCTGACACACCTCAGTGTCTCACAGACCCACTGATGAAAACACTGGTGCGTCTCAGCATCAGGGCGCTGTGCTGTCCGGCTGTGGTGGCTCCCAGTCGTGGAATTCTAGACACGGGCATGGAACAGGCTTGACTGGAAGCCACACAAGCCAGGGTCACGAGAGAAGAGAAGACGTGGCCACCCTCCTGACGGGTATTCAGATGGGCTCCTGGACACTCAGCAGGGGCCAAGTCCAAGGGCAGCCTTAAGGGAAGGGTTGGGATCCTGGAACCACGCTGTCTCCCCTGCTAGGGGGTTAGCTCCTTCCACTGGACAGGGACGTCAGTCCCGGTTAACACATCACCCAGGTGAGCCAGGGTGAGTCCAGGACCCTCAGAGGATGGGAACCTGTTCAGAGCGGCCACTTCTTTTCGCTCTAGATGCTTCTTTGCTGAGTTCAGGGAGCTTAACAACACATGCAGTGACCTCCAACAAGCACAGGGACTTGCCATGGGAGGCTCTGTGTGCTGTTCTCACCTACAGCTTCATTTTTCTTACCCATATTTTCTCTTCACCTTCATTATGTTATTGCTCTTTCACATTTGTTTTTTTTTAAAGGTGCTCCAATCATGCATGACAAAGTGTGACAATCACCAACAGAACAAACAAAATTAGCAAGCCTATACTTACTATAAATAGAAGGATACGATTTGCTAAACATTATTCCCTGTTAGGACCAAAACCATGTCTCTAGTCCTTTAACCACAATCAAGTCTTCCATTCCCCAAGACCTCCAGCGTTCCACGGGCTCCGCCGAAGGTCTCACCTGAACTTCTGAGTCAGCGTCGACATGCTGCAGCTGGAACCAGGTGTCCCTGTTATGGTACTTCTGCAAGTCTTCCTTCTGAATGGCCACCTTCCCTAAAACAGACAGAGCAGAGGGAAAGCGGTCACAGGAGAGGACAAATCCTCCAGGCCCAGCAAGGTTTGTAAGTTACTGCCAATTATTTCGAACGTTATAATCCCAAACAAATCATCGGGTACATGGATAATGCCGCTGTCTTCCTTTATGTAAGATAAGTGTACGCGACATTTCATCTTGAAGGTGCCCGCGCCCCACCCCAATAGCAGAACAAGCATCAGATGTCACTTCCACGGGGGTCACAGGTCTGCCTGCTCTCACACTGGGAGCACAGCCTGGGTGTGGACAGGGCCGCCTTGTATGAACTCTGCTCTGGACTCCAGACCCCAGAGACTCACCCACCAGCACAGATGGGGCATTTGAAAGGCAAAACAAACATGAGAAAGCAGGTCCAGAGGGTGAAGGCGCCCAGAGAGTCGGGACAATTCACTCCCTGCCTTCAATCTCAATCTGGCCGTCATTGTGCCATCTGTCCGTCATGTTCTAAAAAGAAAGGTAACTGCCTCACACTCCCCACACGCAAAAGAGACTTGGGAAAGACCCCGGAATCATTCAGCCAGGGCGCCTCGGGTCCAGGCCAGTTAATTCCACACAACCAGCACTTCTGCCCACCTGCGAAGTGACCCAGCATGTGAGCACTCCAAGGGTCAACACCATTGCCCACGTCCAACCTCACTGGTCCAGCTCTGACCGGGCAGAGCCATCTGGAGCCGAATCCTGTCCAGCCACACACTACATAACAGCTTAAGCCACTGCACACAGTCAAAGTCCGCAGGTGGGAGAGGAAGAGCGACAGATGCAGGAAACACACAGAAGACACAGGCTGCCAAAAAAGTATATTCCACAGAAATTCAGAGTGACCCAAGTTACAGGCCCCGGGGAACATCCTCCAGCAAGCATCACGTTACAAGGACAGAATGGCGCCCTCGGGACTCCTCACAGGCCCCTCCCTAGCCTCGGTCCTCCCCTGCCATCACTAATCCACTTGGTGGGTGTCCTGCTGAGGTCCTGGCGGTGGGTCCTGCCACCTCTGGCCGTCTGCCCTTCCGCACACCCGGTCACTAGGAAGAACAGTCCCCGAGAGAAGACTCCTTCCTCTCTGCTTGGCTCCAATAAAACTCCTTTCCCCCATGGGAATATGACTCTGAGTTTTGCAAGAATAAAGCCACATGAAACGGAATATTTCTTGGAACTGAGTTGGGCAACATATTTCATTGAAAAAAAATTTAAAAATATTCCGACTCCATGATTAGTTCAGCTGGGTAAGAGGGTTACATTTGAAGTTTGAAATTGTATGCAACTGCAATGCTTTTGAGCTTTAACTATCATAGGGAGGAGTCATGTATCTAATGCTTATATGAGTCCTACAACTTACACATCATTACTCTACTTCTGGAAGTACTTAATGTAATATTAAGTTGGCAATGCACGAACATAGTACAAAACATGAAACATTAAAATACATATAAAATACAGCCAAGAATACCTTCCTCTTGCCCCTGCTACGCAGCTCCTGACTCAGGGTCACCTTGGTTGCCAGCTTCCAGCCTGTCCTTCAAGAGCTCAGTCACAGTCAAGCCTCTACAAACGTACTTTTTTAAAACATGTGTATTAGTGTTTCTAAGTGCTGTTCTGAGAGAACACCCGATCCACAGCCACAGTGTCGACTTAAATGCCTTAATCCGCAGACCTGTCCCAATCTATCAGAGTGACAGTAACAGTTCGCTAAACCACTCTGGGCCTCACTTTCTCATTTAGACAGAGCGGTGCTACCTGCCTTTCACCACTAAAATCCCGTGTATGATTTCCTCTGTGGGTGCTGTACCTGAAGGCAGAGCACACCAGGTAGTTCATCAGAGGGCAAGTGATGTGGGAAACCAGGTACAGAGGTGGCAGAGCACCTGGGGGAAGGCGAATCACGGGGTGAAACCTGCAGGAAAGCCGACTAAGAGCAGACTCAATGAGGCGCAGCCCAACATTCCCCGAGATGGAGCCAGCGGAAGAGAAGTTTGTTCTCATCTCTCCTGGTCAACCTGGCATCCTAGCCAGTGCATGAAAGCAAGAGAAAGAAACAAGGCATGGAGACTGGAAAGGAAGAAATAAAAGTCTTTATTCACAGACTCTATAGGAAAATCTACAAGACAAGCTAGTAGAATAGCTGTGTTTAGTAAGACCGCAGAATACAAAGTCAATGCATAAAAAGCAATTGTGTTTATGCATAGAAGCAATGACAATAAAAACTGAAAATTTAAAAACAACAACAGTATCTTTCACAAAATGATCTTTTTATGGCTTGTGATTTTAGTATACTACCTGAAAAAAATCTTTGTCTACTCCATCAAAAACAAAATATATAAGGATAAATAAATAAATGTGTGTGTGTGTGCGCGTGTGTGTGCGCGTGCGCATGCAATGTCTGCAAGATGTGTATGCTGAAAACACATTGCAAACACTGATGACAGAAATTAAAGAAGGCCCAAGTATATAGAAAGATATGCCATGTCGGAGCACCTGAAGACTAAAATTTTGTTAAGATGTTAATTCTCTGCAAATTAACCCAGAGATCAAAGCAATCTCAGTCATTTAGGAAATTAAGTTAATAAAACACCAAAGAAATCAAAACCAAAATGAGATATCACCTCTCACCTGTCAGAATGGCTATCATCAATATATCAACAAACAACAAGTGTTGGCAGGGATATTGAGGAAAGGAACCCTCGAACACTGTTGGTGGGAATGCAGATTGGTGCAACCACTATGGAAAACAATGTGGAGGTTCCTCAAAAAATTAAAAATGGAACTGCCTCAATGCCAAGCGATTTCACTTCTGGGAATATATCCGAAGAAACCCGAAACACCAATTTGAAAGAATAAATGCACCCCTATGTTCAATGCAGCATTATTTACAATAGTCAAGATATGGGAGCAATCCAAGTGTTCATCAGTAGATGAGAGGATAAAAAAGCTGTGGTACATTTACAACTGTAAAAGAGAAGGAAATCTTACCTTTTGATACAGCATGTATGGGCCTAGAGCAGGGGTCCTCAAACTTTTTAAACAGGGGGCCAGTTCACTGTCCCTCAGACCGTTGGAGGGCCGGACTATAGTTTAAAAAAAACTATGAACAAATTCCTATGCACACTGCACATATCTTATTTTGAAGTAAAAAAACAAAACGGGAACAAATACAATATTTGTATTTGCATGTGGCCCGCGGGCCATAGTTTGAAGACCCCTGGCCTAGAGGGTATTATGCCAAGTGAAATAAGCCACTCAGAGAAAAACAAATACCATATGATTTCACTTATATGGGGAAATCTAATGAACAAAATAAACAAAGAAACAAGATAGAAATAGACTCATAAAGAGGGGGGGGGTAGGGGCTGGGTAAAAAGCAGTACAAATTGGTAGTTGCAGAAGAGTCACAGGGATGCGGATTGCAGCATGGAGAATAGAGTCAATAATATTGAGATAACTGGGTGTGGGGCCAGGAGGGTACTTGAGCAGTGGGGGGACCACTCTGTAGAGTGCATGGTTTTTCAGCCACTTTGCTGTACATCTGAAACTGGTGCAGAATGGTATGAATATAAACTGTGGTTGAAAAAAAAAATTTTTTAAATAAGCCGATTAAAATATGTAAATGTCTATTCAAAGGCCTAGAATAGCAAAAAGAGTTTGGAAAAGAACAAAATTGGTAGCACCCTCGCTGGATACACCCCTCCCTCCTGGACTCGACCCTCAGAGGGGCACACGTGCAACTGCACCAGGAAAACCTAAAGGTGAGTGTGGGCTCCTGCTGGCGCGAGGCCAGCCGATCAGACACAGGAGACCGTGAGAAGCGGGTGACACTGTGCTCATTTCCGTGATACAAATTTATACCCTAGAACTTGGCTTCTCATACTGTAACAACATAATTACTAGTCATAACTTTAAATTATTCCTGGAGATTCAGACAGCCACTTATTTTTACAGCTGTAAAAACGACAGTGAAAACATCTAAGTCCAATTGCAACTGACACACCATAATTTTAAAGCCACCAAGCATGGCTAAACCATGATTTTGCTGGTTATCTTCAAAATTAGCAGGTACCTGAAGCAGAATGTTTAATAAAGAACTTATTTTGATTATTTTAAGGGGAAATAACCCCAGAACCAATGTGACCAGGTTCTCTGATTAAAATGTACAAAAATATTTTAAAATGTTTTTTCCTTAGGATTACTACTCAAAAAAGTTTTCATATGCCTCCAAGGATTAATGGATATCCTCTTCATTCTAGTATAATCTGAGCCAATTACTAAGGCCAATACTCTATCTTCATACTCACTTCCACCTATCATACTGGTATATCCAATGCAGCCACAGGGTCACTGGGTAAAATGTCAACTTCTAACCGGGCAGCTTAAGATTCTACACTTTGCTCTTCCCTCTCCTGCTTTTTTCCATCCCTCCTTGAACAAACCTTGGCGCACCCAGTAGGTGGTGGATAGAGACAAACCCTCAAGGAGCTCCAGGCCATAGGAAGTACAGTCCAGTGAACACGTGACAAAAAGCAAAAGAAATGCTCCAGGAGGTGAAGCCACGGAGAACACACACATGGAAGGGCAGCTCGCTCAGGTGTCGTCTCTGGCCAACCAGGGTCTCAGATGGGCAGCAGTAGCCAGGTGGGCATAGGGGTGGGGAGAAGGGCCAGAGGTGGGTGCCATGCAGAGGGAGCAGTGTGAGCCAAGGCCAGGAGGCAGGGGGCACCAGGAGAGAGACTGGAAGGAATCGGGAGGACCTGGGCCCACATCTGGGATCGAGGAGGACAGGAAGTAGGAAGCCCTTGGCAGGGCCATCACAAAGGGCTTGAACATCCAGCTAAGGGTTTGGGAGTCATCTTGAGGCAAAGGGAGCCCTGCAGGACCTGAGCAGTGGAGTCCCATGGTCAGATCTGAATTCCAGACCCATCACACCAACGGAGATCCCTCAAGACCTGGAAAGTGTGCGCTGTCTGCTTGC